CGGGGGGGGGCGTAGCCATGGAGACGCAGCCGGGGGGGCGTAGGGGGGCGTAGCCATGGAGACGCAGTGTAGTCGCCATGGAGACGCCACGCCGTCACCATGACACAACACCTGAGAGAAGTGAGATTGAAACTGCATCAGAAACGAGAGCTCTGCAAATCTGCTCTATATTAAATATCTCCACTGAGACAGGAAGAGAGGTCATGTGATTCAATGGGTTAGGGTTAGAGGTCATGTTATCCATCAAGGCTTCACTTTGAAAACATCTAACGTGTTCATTTCCTGTTGACGTTACAACGTGTGGTTATAACAGGAGAGGATTCTGGGTAATCGACAGGTTGTCGTCATGGTGACAGCTGTCAGAAGAAATCATATTTTGTCAGAAAAGTCAAACTGATTAAAGAGTGATCACATGACGATCCCCATTAGCCTAGCTTAGCACAAAGACTGGAGGGGGGGGGAAACTGTTAGCCAACAGGAGGTGAGGTCCCCGTGTGCGTGTCACTTCCTGTGTTGGAGCATGTCAGTCCGCTCACATAAACAGTCCCCCTCTGTACAAAGCTGTAAAAATACAAATGTATTAAAAGTAGATTATGTGGTTCCTATTTAAATCCATATCACATTTAAATGAGATAAAAGATTAAAGCAGACGCTGAGGTTTTTCACAATAAAAGTGATATTGCAAAAAAATAATAAAATGTTTTAAAAGTTTATTTAAATCTCTGAAGCTGCATTTTGTTGTTGTTGTTGTTGTTGTTGTTGTTAAACTTCGCACTGGAATAGAAAAACACCTGTGATCTGTTTCATGTTCAATAAATAAATGTAATAACTCCATCTGATCACTGACCAGTTATTAGAGAGACCTGCTGACACTGATCAATAACTCCATCTGATCACTAACCAGTTATTAGAGAGACCTGCAGACACTGATCAATAACTCCATCTGATCACTAACCAGTTATTAGAGAGACCTGCTGACACTGATCAATAACTCCATCTGATCACTAACCAGTTATTAGAGAGACCTGCTGACACTGATCAATAACGCCATTGATCACGGACCAGTTATTAGAGAGACCGCTTGGACCACTTGTCAATAAGACTATCTGATCACTACCAATTATTAGAGAGGACCTGCTTGACACTGATCATAAACTCATTGTCACTAACATTGATTAGGACCTGCTGACACTGATCAATAAACTCCATCTGATACTAAAACCATTATTAGGAGAGTCCTTGCACGTCAATAACTCCATCTGATCCTAACAGTTATTAAGAGACTGCTGACCACTGGATCTAACTACATCTGATTCACTGACAGTATGTAGGAGAACCTGCTGAACACTGATCAATAAACTCAATCTGATCAGTACCGTTATTAGAGAGGACCTTCTACCTGATCAATAAACTCATCTGATTCCTGACCAGTTATTAGAGAGAAACCGCTGGACACTGATTCAATTAAACTCCATCTATCACTAACCCGTTATTAGAGAGGAATCCTGCTGACACTGATCAATAAAACTCCCATCTATCACGACCAGGTTATTAGAAAGGACCTGGACCCTCTTCCTGGAATGGGGTTGGTGCTCCATCCTATTTTTACCCAGGAAACAACTGAAAGCTGCACAGTGGAACTCAGTCCCAGTATCGACGAGAGAACAAAGCTCCTGCAGTTCATTCAAATCTAACTTCAAAACATGCTTATTGGAAAATCAGCTCTGTCAACCCTTCACAGCGCTCTGTCTGCACATGCGCCTTGACCTGCTGCTATCTGGCTGCTTTGGGGATATCTCTTTATGTTTGGTTTTTATGTTTGTATGTTTTTATATATGCTTTTATTATAATATAAGCATGTATGTTGAATGTTGTTTCACTGATACCTGTCATTTGAAGTGAAATTTTTTTTTAGGATGACTTTCAACATCTGTCCAGGGACTAACTCTGGCGCATTTACAGAAATGTCAATCAATGTGCACTGTCCCTGTCAAAAAATAAATAAAAATGAACCCTTTCGACACACATTAATTAATAAAGTAAATTAATATAGCTCTAAATATACCTGGAGAATTATCTTATTATGTAGATCGATATAATAATAGATATTATAATGCATAATGCCTTCAGTCAGGTTAGATATGTGTGTTACATTTAATCTGGTCTTCTTCATTGGTTCCGCCTTTTCCGGCAGAGCGGAACCATTGTACTGCTGTTCCCCGTCGGACTGAGTTGCAGGCTGTACTCCATGTGTTGTGCTCCGCAGCGTGTCTCCGGTGTGTTTACAGAACTTTCTCCGGTGCTTTCTCTCTAACTTCTCTATCCGGTGACACCTGCGGTCCCAGCTCCTTCCCGCCATGCCGGGCGGCAGCTCTTTGTTCTCCGGGTTCCGGGTCCTCGCGCTCTACTCAAACCACGTCCCGCACGCGCTCCGGTTCCACAAGAAGCACCGCGAATTCTACCTGCTGACCGCGGCCGGGAAGTGCTTCCACACCTACAACGTGAGAGCACCTTGTTAGTGTTTACTAGTGTTTCTATTGTTCTCTATCTCGCTGCTTGTGTCTTGTGCTATGGTCTCGTGTCAAGTCAACATTGAATCGATCAGAACTTTATTGGCATCAAACATCAGTCCCATAAACAGTTTATTAAATATGTAAATTAATTATATTTAAATCAAATGTCATAATAAAATCAGATAAAACTGTTTTTAACAATAAAGCCTAAACAAAATATGATATATGTTGCTTCCGGTTTTAGTCCCGCCCCTTCCGTTTCACCCTGATCTTATTTATATAAACTTTATTAGTCCTTTCCTCTCCTAGTTAATGTCCTCTCCTCTCCTAGTTAATGTCCTCTCCTATTTAATGTCCTCTCCTCTCCTAGTTAATGTCCTCTCCTAGTTAATGTCCTCTCCTCTCCTAGTTAATGTCCTCTCCTAGTCGATGTCTCTCTGTCCTGTCCTCTCCTAGTCGATGTCTCTGTGTCCTGTTCTCTCCTAGTCGATGTCTGTGCTAACTGAATGATGTGTCTCTCTCCAGGTGAACAAGCTGGGCATCGTCTCCGTCAGTGAGTTTATCTTCGTACTATTTACCTTTGAACATCTTAAACTCTGAGGATGCTGCTCTCTGATTGGCTGCTGTAAACAATGTACTGAGAGTGCTGTTCTCTGATTGGCTGCTGTGTGTCCTGTGCTTGTTGCCTAGGTAACAGTCTGAGCGATGACATCAATGTGTTGGCGGCAGACAGGATGCTGGTGTTCGTCGCCGCCGGACGACTCGTCAGCGCATTCGCCCGAAACAAGGAGGTCAAAACTTTATTAACACATCTTCACATATAACTTTATTAACACATCTTCACATATAACTTTATTAACACATCTTCACATATAACTTTATGAACACATCTTCAGATATAACTTTATTAACACATCTTCACATATAACTTTATTAACACATCTTCAGATATAACTTTATTAATACATCTTCAGATAAAACTTTATTAACACATTTTCACATATAACTTTATTA